GAGAGCAGTAGCAGTAGCAGTAGCAGTAGCATTAGCAGTAGAGACATGTCGCATGCCGTTCTTTTTCACATTTTTTTTGAATATAATAATCGCAGGAAATGCTAGATATAATACGAAATGTTGTATTTTATGAATATTTACATAATACTATTACTAGCACAATTTTTCATAAAGTACAACGTTTCTTATTATATTTCGCATTCTTCGCGATAAGATTTCAAAAAGTAATATAAAAAAGAGTCGCACGCGACATGATTACCTACTTGTACGAATCTCGATAAAAAAATGACTGCGCGATAACTACGCGTATAAACGTAAACATGACGCGCCGCTCTGTGCCATCTCCATCCCAAGGTCTCACGCCAAATGTTTAACTGCCGAAATATTAACGCATATTACGAAGTAAAATAATATATTCGTTACATTTTTAATGTTCTCCGATTAATGAAACAATTTCTTATATATAACTAGTTTTAGCGGCGCGAGTCGTTTAATGTGGTATCATAATTATATCGTGATATACCAAGGAACATATTTGATCATTTCATTTTATAATTTTAAATATTTCGTATCAATTACAATGTATTGACAAAAAGTAAAAAGTATTAATACAATAAAAAATAATATTTAAAAGTTATTTCTCTATTTCATTAGCGAAATACAATAAAATAATTAGACATAAAAATAAAAAAATAAATTAAAGATATACTTACCTGCAAAAACGAGCTACTAAATTTATTAATAGATTGTTTATTTTATGGGTGAATATACTTACAGAAAGTTTATTTAAAAAAAAGAGAATTGCCGATAAAAATTGGCAGGGGTGGTGGAGGGCCTTTACAACTCGTTTTTGCTAAATTATACCTTAAATTGACAATATATGTTTAGAAAGATTGAATTTATTAAAAGTCTCTATAATTGCTAGTAATTATAGAGACTTATTCTAGTAATTATATTTAATAAATACTGGTTGAAAATTTGCGTAAAGATACATAAATTTATAATTTTATAAGATATTGTAAATTTCGTTTATTAAAGTTCAACAATTTTTATTTACATATGTAGCAGATGCGAAATTAAAATTTTTTCGTTCAAGGACCCATTAAACTGTCCCTCTTATAGATACTGGATAATTGGCACGCTTCTGTTCTGAGGATGTATTACAGAGATGAGTCACATCTACTTTTAACGATACGATTTTATCGATAGTGTCAAAAAAAGTATGTAGTCATATAGTTCCCAAACTGAAAGTACTGGATGTACTGGCGATTTCGAACGGTAAAAGGAAAAAGACCGGCAGGCCTTTCTCTGGCCTCTCTCAGGTTTCTCTCTGATTATTAAGGCTTAAGGCTTAAACACAATAGGCAATAGGGATTCAGAGCTCTGATTTGTAAGTTCGATATTATATCCCAGAGCTTTGATTGGATAGCTCGTTATAGCCCTGTTCCCTGTTCTCTGTTCCTTATTGCCTGTGCCTATTGTGTTTAAGTTTTTAAACACAATAAGTATCCCAGCAAACAAGGATGGATTGAAATAAATTGAAATTGATTCAGATTTTTAGAAATATTGATTCACGAATGTTAAAATGAATGCTTTTCAATCTTGAATGCATTTTTATTTATTTATAGAAATTGCATGGAGCATATCTCTACACCTTTCAATCTAAAAATAATATTAGTTTTGTTTGTGCATTGAATACTGTTCAATTCAAAATTTTGAATAGGAAATGCAGTTTTTCAATCCACTTGCATCCAATTGAATCTAATTGAATCCAATTAAATCCAAAAAAAATATTCTCTATTTATATATATATAAAATACGCATTCGGAAAAAAAATTTCAACTTCCACTTTAATCCATTCTCGTTTACTGGGATAGGCAATAGGGAATAATGAGTCGTCCAATCAGAGCTTTTTTTATAATATTGAACTTACATACCGGAACTCTGATTGGACGGCTCATTATTCCCTGTTGCCTGTGCTTATTGCCTATGCCTATTGTGTTTAAGCCTCCAGCAAACGAGAATGGATTGGAATTTTTTTTTATCCGAATGCGTATTTTAAATAGCAAATACTTTTTTTGGATTTAATTGAATTTAATTGGATTCAATTGGATTAAAAAACTGCATTTTCTATTTGAAAATTTGAATTGAACAGTTGAATTCACAATTGTGTTTGTGCACAGAAAAAGCTATTATTATTTTTAGATTGAAAAGCATAGAGATATGCTTCATGCAATTCCTATAAACGAATAAAAATGTATTCAGAATTGAAAAGCATTCATTTTAACATTCGTGAATCAATATTTCTGAAAATCTGAATCCATTCCAATTCATTTCAATCTATTCTCGTTTGTTGAGTTTTTATTTGAAATATAAATATTAGCACATTCGTAAAAAAAAGGATGTAATATAACTTTAATACTTTTAATGTCCGTTTCCATCAATGTAGATTAACTTTAATCTCGGTTTAATTTATTTTTCCTCTTTTTCTAATCTTTAGAACTAGAAAAAGATGAAGAGTAAGTTGAACCGAGATTAAAGTTAATTTACATTGGTGAAAATGGGCATAAGCGAAATAAACATCATGCGCATATAAGATGAATATTTTTGATCCATAGTTTGTGAATGTAGTATGATTATACGAACCAAATATCGATTTATCATCTGCAGCCTTGAAAAGTGGATGTATGTACCCTCAGAAAAGTGGACTTTGTTATAATAGTTTACATCTACTTTGTCAGGGGGCAGTAGTGCGCGGCAGCATTTTGCGATTACAGGTTTTCGACCATCATCATCATGTTTTATGTCCTCTCTCAGGTTTCTCTCCAGTAAGAGCATGTACAAGTATGTGTTTATTGTGTCTCAAGAAATAAACCTGATTATAAAAGTTTGTATAATTATATAAATTATATTATTATTTACATATTTAATATTAAGTATGTTAAATACTGTAACAAATATTACTTTTTTTATACATTTTGTGAAGGAATTTGAATAAAGAAGGAAAAATATTTATTGTTTGATAGAATTTTTTTAAAGTTATAATTGATGTAATACATATAATGTTACATAAAAAAAAGATGTTTTTTTCTGCTTTATTTAATTGATTTATATTTTAATTGGTATATGTTTTACATTTGCATGTATTTATATATATATATATAATATATTATTAGGAAAATGGCTCAATATATTGCACATGACATAAATAAGAAACAGAGGACGAATGATATAAAAATAGAAGAAGATGTTACATTTTTTCAAATGAAACTTCCACGAGATATTCTGGATGGGCTAATGTCTGCTGGATTTCAAAAACCATCTCCTATCCAGTTAAAAGCTATTCCATTAGGCCGTTATGGGTTCGGTAATATAATTTATAGTTACATATATTAAAGAATAATTATGATATCTATATTAAAAGTTGATAATTTACAGATTTGATAGTACGTGCAAAATCAGGAACTGGAAAAACCATAGTATTTGGTGTAATAGCTCTTGATATTTTAGATATTTTGGTAGGATCACCACAGGTTTTAATAATAGCACCTACGAGGGAAATTGCGATTCAAATAACTTATGTTATTAAAACAATAGGTTCAAAAATAGAAGGTATATAATAATTTCAAATATTGCTATATACTTTTTCTAGAAAAGTCTCTATCTTTTTGTCAATTATTATTTTAGGATTAATAGTTTTATTATTTTAGGATTAAGAGTTGAATATTTCGTGGGAGGAATATATCGATAAAAAGTTGTTTCTATCTCTTTGTCACATATTATTTTAGGATTAAGAGTTTTATTATTTTAGGATTAAGAGTTGAGTATTTCGTGGGAGGAATATCGATAGAAGAAGATAAAAAAAAGCTAAGCAAATGTCATATAGCTGTTGGTGCACCTGGCAGAGTAAAACATTTAATTGAAAAGGGATTTCTTCAAGTTTCAAAAATTAAATTATTTGTTCTTGATGAGGCGGACAAATTAATGGAAATTAATTTTCAAAAAGATATCAAGTTAGTATTGAGTGTAAGAATTAAATATTAAATAAATTTAGATGTATGTGCATGTACATATAATATAGTAATATATATTAAAGGCTGTTGTATACAGAACATGCATAGTATATATATATATATATATATATATATATATATATAAAAGCTAATTGAATCTGTAAGCTAAATATAATTTATGGGTCAATTCTAAACAAACTCGTTAGGTTCTAATTTGTTCTTATAAAACTTACAAGATATTAATATGATTGATATTATAATTCTGCATATGCACATATTGTAAGATGTACAATCATTCGTCAATATCTACGCTTTCTCGTAAATGTTACAGCTATCAAGAAGCTGTCTGTAAAGATATTTCATAAAATTACAAGAACTTACAAGTTTTAGTCTTACGAGATCAGTCTTATGATTCTGCTTAGGATTGATCTATTATTTATATTATTTTATGGATGTATATTGATCTATCATTCAAAAATGCTTAAGCTTTTTAGATTTAAGTAGATTAATATTTAATAGATTTTAATTTGTACTATATGTGCACATTGTATCCAATCAAATTTATCATTACTAACTTGTCTTGTAAATTACTAAAGTTATATTAATATTTTTCTATAGTTATATATTTTCTAAACTACCATCCAGCAAGCAAATTATAGCTTCAAGTGCTACTTATCCTGGGGATTTAGAAACATTTCTACAAACTTATATGTCCTCTCCAGTGTTAACATCACCAAATATTGATGGACCAGTTTTAATTGGAATCAAACAATTTGTGGCTGTGGTTCCGACACATCCTAATATGATGAAACAGGTTTTTTTCTTTATTTAAATTGATAAAAATTAATTTTATTAACAAACATTCTATATAATTTATCTGTTTATATTTTTAGGTACAAACAAAAATTGATGAGTTGGTAAAAATTTTTACTAAGATTCCATTTAAGCAAAGCCTAGTTTTTTCAAATTATCAATCACGGTATGTAATTATGTCTTAATTATTATTTAATATTTAATATTTAATTAATTTAATTATTCTATTTCTGTTATTACAGGGCTCAATCAGTAAGCAATAAAATTAATTCATTAGGTTTTTCATCTTCATATATTGTTGGAAATCAAGATATGACTAAAAGATTGGAAACGATTGAAAATTTAAGAAATTTAGAATATAGAATTATGTTAACCACGGATCTAACTGCAAGGGGTATAGATATAGAAAATGTTAATATGGTCATAAATTTGGATATACCTACGGATCCGGCAACATATTTACATAGAATTGGCAGAGCTGGTCGCTATGGATCTTATGGAATTTCTGTTACAATTGTTACCGAAAATGAGCTTTCATCATTCAGAAAATTATTAATTTCGATTAGTGGAGTGAATTTTTACTTATTCAAGCTCAGTTCTGATTATACAGAAAATGTTTGGACTGATGATACTTCAGTATTTGAAAAAATTTATTTGGAATTTGAAACTAGTCCCACAAAATTGCCAGCCATTGATAAAACTGTTGTTGAATCTGAAAATGGTGCTCCTATAACAATATCTATGTCAGAACGTGTGTTTTCTTCAGTAGTCGATGACATAACATCAGAAAATAATGTTTCTACTGTGAAACATGAAGAATATAATATTTCACCCAATAGCACAGCAAGCAGTAATATTTTGTCGACGGAAAGTAATATCACTCTTACAGAATATGACGAACGTAAAAGTATTTCACCAAAACACACGACGATCAATATGTTATCGTCAAAGAACGTTGAAAATACTACTAAAAAACGTGGAAAACGTAAATTATCAAAAAATAGAAAAGGCCATAAAACTGTTTCTAATAATACATGTGTAAAATCAAAATCTAATTTAGATGAAAAGATAAAAATTAGTTCATTATTTCAACATTATGTTCAAAGCAAAGCTAATTCTGCAGTTAATACTTCTAAAGAATGTAAAGAAGTATCAACTGTAGAGTCTGTAGTTGAAAATTCTGAAGAAAGTAAAGTATCAATTCTAAACTCATCCAGATCAAGAAACATATATCAATTTACAATTACACCTAACTCCGATGCTCCTTCTGCTTTGGAAGAATTGAATAAAGACGTCGTATTTGAAGTAGCTCTATCAGATACAGAGAATTGCAAATTATCAGATTCAGACATTGAAAACGTTATTCGATATATGAAAGATTCTTTAATTAACAAAGAAGAAAATAAAGAAGAAAATAAAAAAGAAGAAAATGATGCAATGTCTAACCACGATAAAGAGGATAATGATGAAAAAATGTCTATACAAATTTTTCAGGATACTTTTTCTACAAAAAATCCTGATTTTATGAATAGTTTACCTATAAATGAATTAGATAATAGTGAGAATGATCACATACGGATAATAGTAAACAATTATTTATTAATATATGCTACAAAAGTTATCAACAGCGATAATAATGTTTGTAACGATGAAGAATCTTTGTTGAGAGTAGCTTCCAAGTGGAAAGAGTTACTCGAGTTTGAAATTAATTTATTAGATAATACATATAAAGGCATGACTGATTCTTTTTATAAATTAATATATAAAGAACATTTTTCAGCTCTCAAAACTTTCCTTAATATACAGAAACGGGCTTTTTTGTGTGTTTTTCCACAGCTCCGTAGTGATGAAGAGGTGCAGGATACTTATACATATTCAGCATCTAATGCAAATAATAATTTATTAGATATGTATGAAGAAATAGAAGATTTCAAGAGTCGTTTTTATATATTAGGAACTAAATTTAACGCATTTTTCCCTTATCCTATAAATATTGATGAAGATATGCCGAATTTAATGATGTCAAACTCTGAGATTGAAGAATATCGCAAGGCATTACAATATTTTAGAACTCATCAAAATCCAAATGAAAAAATATTTGAAATAATAGATTATACAGCATATTTAAATGAAACTGAAACATGTGATTTGATTCAGAAAATAAAAGATCAAAATTTATCGTTTTCGGATATGAAAGCGCTTCTTAAAGAGACAGCAGAAAGGAATACAAAAGATGATAAATTAATGGAAGATTTACAACAATCTGAAAATTCTTCGAAAAGTGATAAATTGACGGAATATTCACAAGTGTGTGAGGAGTTGCCACTTTTGGAAAATCAAGATAATAGTATATTGCATGAGACTGTTGAAGTAGATGCTCCAATAACAAATATAATAAAGGAAAAAGATTCGAAGACAAGGAGAATGCAAAAAGTTCATTCCAATCAAGTTACAGCTGCCAATGAAGATAAACATAATGTACAAAATACGAAATATGACGTTTCCACTAATGCAATTTTCGATCAAAGATATGAAAAGATAGAAATTTTGCAAACAAATGATGAAAATGATGAAATTCATAGTACCTCAAACGAGAATATCTCATTTACACCATTTGAGAAGGATTTGATAGGTATTGATAAAGAGTCTTCGAACAACCGAGAGAAAATATTGCTCTCCAATAACAGTAAAAAAGAATCCGACAAGAAAAACGTTCAACATAATAAAGTTAAAAACGTACAAACTAGATATACACCTGTACAAACAAATAATGTTGTTTATAATAATGTTGATGTGTTTGGCAAACATAATAAACATGTAAAGTCTCATAAATATGATCCAAAGGATAGCATAGATATAAGTAATTCGGTCTCCTCCGCAAGATATTCAAGGACACTAAATTTACCTACAAGTAGAAATGTTAAGAAAGTTCCTCGACCTTCGTTGAGTCCAGTGCAAAGTTTTTATCCGCGAATCCCAGATTCTAATTTATGTTACGATTTAGGTGCACAAGATGAAGCATATTTGTCAAATCAAATTTATCGCGATTATTGGAGCGAACGTGTACCTGTATGTTCTTTCCGTACACATCTATACGCTCAATCATCACGATCTAATCGCATACCACGATATTTGAGACAGGAGACTAATGATAATTATACAAATTTTAAAGCTCACAAATCAGGTGATGATTTAATAAACAATGTTTATTCATGTGAAACTGATATTGACAGATTTTTATCGTCGTTGAGAATGCAAACTGATCAATTGCATCTGGAAATCTACAAATCTCAAATATTGGAAAATTAGACTAAGTAAATACGATTAAGTAATTGCGTAATTAGATTAATAAGATATAGAGTATCTAATCTGTTCAGTTATGCGAGGGACATTCAAATTGTACTACGAGCGCATTTTCATCAAATCCTTTCTCACGATGTGTTTATTATGATCAAGCGGCAGCAAAGAATGACATGTGAATCAATAGTGAAAGGTCACGCATCGCAGGTACTTAACACGCATCGACGAGACTTGAACTGTGTGCCGGAGGTAACCTTTTCTTACCGATTCGAAGCTACCTGCGGTTATGCAATTGGGTTGATCTTTCGCGATCGAGTCTTGTATAGTCTCATCGATCGAATATTGTCGGTTGTCAGCAATAAGGATACTTTACTATGTACTATAATTTTCTTTTTATAAAAATTAATGTCTGTTAATGTCTCATGTAAATACCATGCACTTATTTGATAATTTACAAATCATGATTTACATGTTGAGCGATCAATAAGAACAATTCAATTTTTTCCTGTGTATAAATATTTTTTTATCTATAAATGTTTTATAATGACAATATCAGATTTTACTTTTAGTTAAAAACATTCGATTTAACTTTCAACACTTGTATTTTTTTTAATGAAAAAATAAAAATGAATAAAATAAAATATAGAAAGAAATATGTAAATTTGACTAATGTCTGTTTCTATCAAAGTAGATTAACTTTTTATCTTTTTCTAATTTTAAGCATTAGAAAAGGATAAAGAATAAATGATAGCATCAGGTTGCTCCTAATCCTGAAGTAAACTGCAATGTTTACAAAACGTTGCTATTCTAGATGGATTTGGACATAGAAATCCTACACCACTCTCCCGCGAAATGCATAGTTTTTTGCATAAAGAGTAAATTAAGAGTCTATCTATTTTTTAGTAGAAATTAACATAAGAATATAAAAACATAAATAGAGGTATACAACGTTTATTTATTATTCTAACGCATTCTAACGTTGAAAATATTTCTAGAAATCTATTCGGCAGTGACTCGTTAAAAACTATCCAATTTGCCTGAATAAATTTATTCATATTAAGTTGTCAAATAATATTCTACGATATTCGGGTTCGCCACTGTCGGCTATGTTAGAAGGATCAGGTTTCTAAGGCGTCCTCATCCTTAGGGGGGGAGGGGGGATGGGGGGAGGTCCGGGCTAGAGTAAGAGAAAAAAGGGGAACCACCTTACGAAACTCGTCTCGTGAGAAATTCGGAGTAAACCCTTGTCTGGTGCCCCTGTCCCTTTATTCGCGAAATGATTGTGTTTGAGGTGCGCGCCTAAGAGCACGAAACTTCAGTCGATGACCACGTGCTTCCGCGCGAAGCAGTGCGTCGCGTGCCCGCGATTCCCAGTGTCCGCGTACATTCCGTTGTCGTGGTGTTAATTGGAAAATCGATCGTTTAACTTGCGCGTTTTGTTGGTCCAGCGATCGTAGTATTTTCGTCGATATCGGTAGTCAGGTCCGCGTGTTCCAGGATCGCGAGATATGTCGTATATACGCAAGTACTTCAAGAGGACGCCGGTCTATGTCGTGGAGGACCACGATGAGGTGAGTGTATTCGAACGCCGTTCTCGCGTCGTTAGTGTCGTTACGTCGCGGACACTCTGCCATCAACCGTGTATTGTTACGCGACTGCGTCGCTAGATGTCGCGGCGTTAGTGGCGCAACGCGCGCTCCGGTAAAATATAATTCGATTGCTCCGAAACTGAAACCGTCCGTTATCGCGCCTTTATTGAAGTATTGTATGTTATACGAAATTAATAAATTTAGCTTTCCATTTGATGACGCAAGTCGATACAAGTCAACACAAGCGTCGTTCTATCCTTCTTGACATTCAGAGAGTGACAAAAGGTCTGTTTTTTTGTGGCTGAACTATCTAGCAAATCAGAATCGATTAAAATGGATTGACATTCTTTTTTATCCGAATGCGTATTTTATAAATAGCGAATACTTTTTTTGGATTTAATTGGATTCAATTAGATTTAATTGGATACAATTGGATTGAAAAAACTGCATTTCCTATTAAAAATTTTAAATTGAACAGTATTCATAATGTTTGTTGTGTGCACAGAAAAAGCTAATATTATTTTTAGATTGAAAGACATATAGAAATATGGCTCCATGCAATTCCTATAAATGCATTTAGGATTGAAAAGCATTCATTTTAACATTCGTGAATCAATATTTCTGAAAATCTACAATTCATATAATACATTTCAATTTATTTCAATCCATTCTCATTTGCTGAGTAGTGTACATTTTTGAAATGAAATAGGTATATGTTTGATATTTGTTGAAGATGAGAAAGAGGGTGCTAGTGCAGTCTAGTGCAGGAACAGAAAACAGACGAAAAAGATGGAACATTTGTGTCGACTTGTGTCACACACATCAAGTGGAAATAAGCACCCTTAATAATACCTATGTGTATCTGTATATACAGAGTACGGTCAACGCGAAGCTTTGAAGCGTTTTTTAATCGGTCAGTTTGTAAAATTCTTTCTTCAATTTAATCCATCAATTGTTTCTAAGTATTTTAATTGTAGCGAGACTTTGATCACAGCCACACTCTATCCTCTGTTCTAAATATCAAAACTATGTAGATCACACATATTACGTCAAATTAAAATAAAAGATTATAAATGTATTCTCTCTCTTTAATGATATATGTATATATATTTTTTTACTAACTATATAACTATACGTAGGTTATATATTTCTGTATTCTAGAGTACGCCTTAAAAATTATCTTCTGATACAGTAAAGAATCATTTATTATACACTAGAGAGTTTTTGCAATAGCGTTTTATATCTAGATATACAGATGAACGCTAAAAAGGTCACATTATCTTTTTCTAATTAATTAAGAAAAGAATAACATATGTTACTTTAGTGTTCATTATATCTGAATTCACGTGAATCCAATTATAACGTACGTTATTGCAAAAATTTCCTATTAGTTCATGTTAATTTATGCCATAAGCTTATATTCAGTAAATGAGAATGGATTAAAGTAGATTGAACTTTTACCTATCCGAATGCGTACTTTTAAGAGCGAAAACATTTTTTTAAATTTAATTGGATTCAATTAGATTCAATTAGATGCAATTGGATTAAAGAACGGCATATTTCTTATTAACAATTTTTAATTGAACAGTATTCACAATGCAAAAAAGCTGATCATATTATTTTTAGATAGGTCGAAAGGCATAGAAATGTATTCCGGATTGAAAAGAATTCATTTTAACGTTTGCAAATGCATATTTCTGAAAATCTGAATTTATTTATCTATTTTAATCAATTCTCGATTATAGGTAAGAAATTCATTATTCACAATTAAATATGAGGAGAATAATCGACTTTATTTCGTTCACATTCAACTGTGATTGGTTAATTTCTTACAGTTTACAATTTACAGCATAAATTAACAATTTATGGCCAATATAAATAATCCTTAAACCCAGCAAATAAGAATGGATTAAAATGTATTCAGATTTTCAGAAATACATATTCATGAATGTTACAATGAATCCTTTTCAACCCTGAATGCATTTTTATTCATTTATAGGAACTGCATGAAACAAATGTATATTCCTTTTCAGTCTTGAATGCATTTTTATTCATTTATAGAAATGGCATGGAGTATATTTCTTTTCAATCTAAAAATAATATTATAGTAAATACTGCTCAATTCAAAATTGTAAATAGGAAATCCAGTTTTTCAATCCAATTGAATAAAAAAATGTCTTTCTTTTAAAATGGGCCATGCCATTCAATTCAAAATTATAAATAGAAAATCCAATGTTTCATTAAAAAAATGCATCATTTTTTAAAATGCTATTTTATTCAGAATTAAGAATAAGAAATTTTTTGTTTTAATTCAACTGAATTAAAATAAAGTTATACCATAAAAATATATCATGAATTCTACTTCATTTAATAGTTAAAAGAAACATAAAAAGAAATATGTACGTAAATATGTACAATAAATGTTACATATATAAATTACTATTTTTAATTAATAAGTTAATCGCTTTTATATATATTTCATATTAATACGTTTTCTTCATTACTCTGCTAGCGTATATTTTGTGTATAAAAGTTTTAAAATAACTATAGAAGTTCATGTAATTACTACTTTAATTTATTTAAACTTTTAAACGTAATTTTTTATATGGAATCCAATCCATTTTTATGGATTTAAAATATGGATTCGGATGGATTGAAAATTTCCTATCCATTTCAATCCATTTTTGTTTGCTGAGGCACATATATAGCACAGATTTTCAAGGGACATTTTGAGAATGTCTAACATTAAGAATGTTTTCTGGGATAAAGTGCTGTATGGGAAGAGCCTTATCAATGTATTAACTTATCTCTAAGAATTAGAAAAAAATAAACATTAATTCAAATTAAGAGATTGAAGTTAATCTTACATTAGTGGAACCGAGTCTAGTTTATTCTTCAAATATTGTTATACATTGTAATATATAAATATATATATTGTTCGCGTTATGAACAGATACCAAAAATTTTTGTACTTGAAAGGAAATAAATATACATATATTTGGGCGTTAAAGAGAAAGAAAGCGAAGATGCTTAGTGCAAAAATAGCAGCAATACGGAGAGACTTATCAATATTAATTTTATAATTTACAGGTACTTACTTATTAATGAATTCGATTGGATGCACTCAGTGCCTAGTAAATGAGAATGAAATAGATTCAGAATTTCGTATTTGCGACCGTTGAAATGAGTTCTTATAAATTCTAATGCATTTTTATTCATTTATAAGAATTGCATAAAACATATATGTCTATGCTTTTCAATCTAAAAAAAAAAATTTCAGTCCTTCAAGTGCATCGTATGGATACTGCTCAATTTAAAATTTTGAACGGGAAATGCAATTTTTTTATCCAATTGAATCTAAAAAAAGTTTTTCCGTCTAATTGAACCTAAACAAAGTGAAAATGGACCATGAGGCATTCCACTGGGTCAAACAACCAGGTATCTTTGAAACATCACCATTTTTATTAATTTTTTTTTTAAATTTGCTAACATATTCTACAGATAAAAATATGAGATATGTTTCGCGAAAAAATTTGAGATTTTTTTTTAAGTTATTCATGCTTGTAAATTGCCTATAATTGTTATATTATATAAATAAATTATTTTCCATTTGTTTACAATTTTTATTAAAATTTTTTTTATCATCAACTCATTAATTAAAAAATTTTGTAAAAATATCATCGACGCGGTTCCGCATACTGTATGATCACATAACAGAATTTTTAAATGATATAGTCCATTCAAGTTTCATTTTGAAATTTTCAGGGATTACTTTATAATTGAAATGGGAATTAATATGATGATAAACAATAAATAACAAGAAGAGGTTACAAGCCAGATTTTTATGTATTTCAAATTCTTAGAACATACATTTCGACCTTATTATTAGGTCATCCTTAGTGTAAAGAAATAATAATAGGATAATACAATACAGAATAATACAATACAAGCAATTTTTTTTTTCTCTTGCATTTTTTTGTACGGTTTCAATGATATAATAA